TTTTCAAACTCTCTTCTAACGTACATGCATTTTAATATTTCAAGGGGCTTTAATACCTCTCCTGTACGCAAGGTACTTAGGTACTAGTCTTTTATGACTGCCAAATTATGTTGCATGTAAGTTTCATGAAGCCATTGTGGCATGCAAAAGGATGACTATGCAACACTGCAGGTTTGTTCAGATAAGCACCCCATACCACATACTCGGTGGCGGTTTGCACAGCGATACAGGGAGGCACACACGCCAGTGTCTTGACATCTGGCTCTTCACAGACTTTTTGCGATCGCATTGAACAGGCATTCCGCAAGCGCCAACTCCTTCGGGCAGAGCTGCTCGTACAGGCTGCCAATCTCCACACACATGACTGTGGATCTGCTGAAGATGGTATTTGAGAAGGACCACTGCCAGCATTCACCAAGCAGCTCTACAAGCTAACTGTTCTGTGTCAGCGCAATTTGAGTGTGCGGAACAGTTTCAGAAGGCTGTGTTTTTATGAGCAAATACTGATTTGGTTGCATTAAAAGATGTGACATCAATGAGGTGAGCAAGAATATCTGAAAAATGGGTTTATCTCCGAAAGGTCAGTAGTGATAACATGGATTGATAGATTCAGTACTATGTCATGACATCAAATACTTTTTGCTTCTACCACATTTTATTCTTCAAGGGACAGGGCTAAAAAAACCACATCACAAGCTGTTATTTCAAGGAGCAAGGGAAGTAAGCTTTTTGCCATCTGGTAAATATTAGCAGATTACTCACATTAGCAAACTGAAAATTTTAAGTTCCTAAGTTTTACAATTCCTTTGGTTTTAGTGGCAAGACTACATCAGTATCAATTGCTTGTAAACAACACGACTATCTTTCCTTGTTACCTTGTATGTGCAGAAGTATCTTAGCTTCCTCATGACTGACAATCAGCTTCTAAAAAGACCTAAAGTCAAGGTAACATTTTTTCATAAATTGTAATTGCAATTGTTTTATCTGGTGGTTTAGATCACCAGTTTAAAAAAAAAAAATTGGTAAAAACTAGAAAGATCCCTCTCATCACTGAAACAGAGAAACTACTGCCAGTTATTTGGAACATCACAGATATTCCAGACTTGTACAGAGACCCTCAGCAGAGCCAGGAAGTGTCATTCACCAACAAAAACAATATGACATCATCACACACTTAATTGCTCGCCAGTGACAGGGTCAACTTTGTTTGTACAACTGTTGAGTATCATGCTGTTTGTGTGCATGTACTGATACTGCCACTCCAGGACCCACAATCACTCAATGATGAGTTGACAGTTACCTTGAGAACAAACCTACTACTAAACAATTTTAATTCATTATTTTTAAAAAAATACTGGACTCTATATCTACTCTTTAAAAAGAACTGTTGTAAATTGCTTTGCTGGTCTGCAGGCAATAGATGCCATTTTGCTTTCAAGAGTATTGTCCTTAAGAAGTGTTGACTGTTGGTCAGGTGACCTTTTGAGGAATTAAAAGTGATCTGCTTCAATTCACAGACCTTTTGGTCAGAGAATCACAGTTTTGGATAATGTCAGTTTGAGAGTTTCTTCTGGCATGTTTCAAAAGAGAGAGCCTGTCCTAATTTTAGTCAGGGTATTAACTCAACCCTCCACAAACAGACCTCCAGATTAACAGCACTAACCAAGGAGGAAACATTTCCTCTTCTTTTTCTTGGAAAGGAAGGATCTACTCACAGTTCTTACTAAAACCAAAACAAGGAGAAACTTTCAGAGTACCACTTAGGAAATCACTCTAGCTTCAGTATAGTTCTGGGATAACCGCTACTGTAGTTGCAGGCCTGGCACACAGCACAACTGGTTGTACCTACTGCTACGTTGTTTGTACTAATTTTTCTATTCAGAATTCCCCACTTGATAAAAAGCAAGTCAGAAAAATTCAAGGTAGAAGTTTCCTATGACAGTAAGATGCAAGGGCATACATCTGCCTACATACTGGGTTCCATGCTTTTATCAGACTTAAGATTTTAACTGATTTTTGTCTATACTGGGGGTAGATAAAGAAGCGTTTTGTCAAAGAGGCTGTCTCTTTTGATGCTGCATTCAAACTTTTAAATATATGCAGGGTGCTCACACCTGACCTGAAGTTAGTCAGCCAATGCAAGGTTTGTTCAGTTGTCTGGTTAGCTTCAGTAGGAGTCAGAACAAGGTCAGCTGTAACTCATGAGGAATGAAAAAAGGTAGCCAAGAGGGTTTCCAAGGAAGATCACCCTTTACGTCGACATTTTTAAGAAAATAGGAATTCAACAATCAGCCTGAAATAGCTGAACAAAACAGTTTAAACACCAACTGTTGAGGGTTAATGAGCAGAGCAAATGAAATACTATTTATTTATATTGTTATTAGCTAATAACAGTACAGATTGCAAGTATGAAGACCTAAAGCTCTGAATACCTGCTTCTGGTCTTAAAACTGTGTAGACAATATGTCACAGAGAAAAAACATGCTCAATACACACCCCTCCCAATTTAACCTTCAGAAAGTGAATCACCTAATGACAATATAGAGTGGCAGAACATTCAAACATAGCTTTGACCCCATTTATTACATTCATTTTTTCTTTGCTTTAGGGAATTGTATTAGTGTATTCATATCTTGTGATAGCAAATTGCTCAGATATCACATCAGACATTGCCTTCATTGTACCTCCTGAAGACAGTCTTTAATTTACCTTCATCTTTCCCTGTCAGGGGCAACCACTCTGCCTTAAATATGAGCTAATGCTGAAAAGCACTACATAACCACTAGCTATCACAAGGGGAAGGAGATGAAATCAACGAAATGAACTACCATGCTCCAGAAAAACAATCATCACTATCCAAAAAACCCAAGACATTATGAAAGGTAGTCTTCAAAAGAAAAAAAAAGTTTTTAGAGCTCAAGCAAATTAGAGGAACGAAGTTAACACAGTTCTTACAAAAGTCTGTCCCTGTTTATTAATATCTATTAAGTCAATGAGAAATAACGACAACAAATAGTTCAACATGTTCTATTCAATTTCCTTCTTCTCTATGCTTTTTAATTCAACACAAATTCTTTCCACTCCAGTTTGTCTCAGAAAACTAAGAAAATTACAAGTTTCCTTGGGGGAAGAGAGGGGAAGGAAAAAACATGGTTGCTGAAGTACTGTAAGAAAGGATGCCAGAAAACAGAAAGCACACGCTGCAGAAACACAACCGATTTCCAAGAGAAGTGCAATTCTTGCACCACCGTTGCTAGCGAACAGAGAGTTAATGTGGCACTTCAAGAGCTAAAGACTTAGTGTGTGGCTTACAAGATCACAGTTTTTCAGGTTTCTACCCAGATTTATTTTTATCTTCTCATGCATAAACCGAAATGTGTAGCACTTCGGTTTTAAGCAAATATGCAGGCATATTCTTGATATAAAAGGAATCTAAAATGTTCTCTCCTTGGGTCATATTTGGGGTTGGATTCAAGCTAGCAGGTTGGTATTATTTAGTCAACTATAGTATTTGCTCAGTGAGACCTTCAGAATTCTTGGAAAATTTATTTTAACTTTGGAAGCCTGATTTTAAAGACTAAAGTATTGCTTTTATTAATTTAATTCAAGAGAACAATATGGCAGGGGTCACCTTTTTGAAGGGTGCTCCATTTGAAGGCAAACAGTAAGGAGCGGAAAAGCCGTTCTAAATCTTTACTTAATCGCTAAGAACCAAGAACAACTGGCAGCTGGATCAAAAGTGCTGACCAACTATTCTCACTTGTTCTTTTCTTTTGTCTCCCTCTTCTTACAATCTGTAGGGAACAGCAGGCATTCAGAGCTCAAACGGCACATTTTGAAGAAATCACAGACACAAGTTTGACAGTCAAGAAAATAAAACTTCATTTTCTGAGGTGGTGAATGCTGGGAACAAGCACAATAGATGGCAAAATCAGCTAGAGATGCAGCAAAAAGCATGGGTGCACTTTACAGCCTATTGTTTATAGGCTTTATAGTCCTCAGGCTTTATGGTTACGCTATTTCTATAGAACACTCTGATGTACAAATAAGGATCAAGAGATCCCTCTCTTTTTTTTTTAAATTAGGTTCGATTCAGACCAAATGAATAGGAATCAAAACCTATCCAACATGGGTTTTATATGCTGTTGTCACCTGTCCTGCTTTCAGGGGTTGTTCCAGAGAAGAACAAGCACTAGGAGACCTCTTACAAAGTAGATGCATCAGTAATTTCAACCCAGTGTCAACATCTAGAGCTTAGAAAACTCTGCTTTCCTCTGACCTGCACTGGGACCGAAGCACACTGACAAGGCAGAGAGGGAACCTCCTCTTATTACTAGTCTGCACTGCAGTAATCAGTCGCACAAAGAGAAAGAAAAAACTTCGCAGAAGTCTTATTGAGCATAATACCATGGAGCTGACTCAGAGTGCGACTCTTCTGTGATGAATTAGTCACTACAAGAGCTGGCAAGTTCATTGTACTTTAATTGCTATCACTGCAACAGTAGGGTTAATACCTGCCATGACAGCTGTGATCTGTCTTTCAAAGTCTATGATTATTCTCTCAGAACCAACAAAGAAAAGTGTTTTTGTTAGAATTACAGTTTTAGCATGTCTTCCTATCTGTCAGTTGTCTTCTCAAACACAGGTGTACCAATCTGCACCATTTATGATTTGGTTTGTTTCTTTTCTATATATCCTCTTTGCATTGTGTTAATGCAAAGAGTTATAACTCAGGAATTTTGGTCATGAAGCTCAGCTCTGTAAAAAAAAAATTTGTAAGAATCAACATTCAGTAGGGAAGATTTTTCAGGCCCCAGAACCAGCATGCAACAACTGTAAACCTTTGAGTCAGTTTTGAACCAGGGACCTTCAATAATGTTCCTCCAACCCCCCATAACGGTAATATCGCCACAGCTTTTATTCAAACTGTATGCTCATCATTTGCCTTTTCAATCACAGACTTATTTTATACCTGCGTTAAGGCAGAAACCTTTCCTCACCTTTAACGTGGCAGCCAAGCTGGCCATGTGTTCATTCAGAGTGCTCTCCGACTCCTTGTAAGTCAGGCAGGTGAACTGGTATTCCTCTGGATCAAAGGCATCTGCTCCCTGCTGCTCCACGTCGTTAGCTACCCCATCATAATAATCCTCAATATCCCCAGGATCCTCATCCTCTTCCTCCTCCTCGCAATTAGGGTCATAATCCTCTTCATTGCTGTCAGAGCCCTGGCTGTTCATGTCCACGGACATCTTAATGCCCTGTCAAACTGCAGACCAGGGAAGCAATTGCAGCTTCTTTTTCTTCTCCAAACTTTATCGTTCTTTTGATTTCATCTGAGCTCTGTCTCCTGAGGGGGGAAAAACAATTTTGTCTGTTGCCTAAGAAGTTGTAAGAGAGGCCACATCAACATCATACAGGTGATCAAACAGCCAGGAACGGACCGACCCAATGGCCCAGCTAAAGAAGATTCTGCTGTGCAGGTGCCTGGTTTGGATCCACTGTGACTCTTGCACCTGCAAAGCCAAGGCTGCTCTTCCAGGCGAGGTCTAAAACCTCGGAGATTGGCTTAATACATTGCATCCTAGCCCCCAGCGTGGGCCCTGAGACTTTTGACATTTGGGAAGTGGCTGCATAACCTTCACTACAGATCTTTTCAGAGAAACAACTAAATTTATGACATTAAGTTTTTACCACCAGCCTGATGTGCTGCAGAAAAGCACCATATCCATTTCATCAACAAGAAAAAACACAAGCCCCTTAACTATGACCACAGTAGCTAGAAAGGCAACCTGTGATACCCTGTACAAGTCCGTATTGCTTCAGAACCACAGCCATTAAGTAGGACTTTGGAAAATAAGACAAGCAAACAGATCTCTCACATACACACAATTTAACAGTCTTCAATACCATCTCAAAAGAGATGGTGAAATTAGTTAATCCCTTTTAAGTAGATTCTACTGGATGTGATGTGGCTTGGGCCTTACATCTGAGCGGGGAAATAAAATTAATTCTCTCCTTTTATTACCTTCTCAATATACCATTCTTACCTTCTGAATGTAGAAATTTATGCTCAAGTGTTGACAGCTGCTAATCAAGAAAAATCAGAACAGCCAACTTTTTTTTTTTAGATTCTCACTGGTATTGGAAACTTCGCCTATTTGACTTTACTTATCTGAACTACAAATCTTCTGTTTGTGTAACTAGACAGCGTGAATTCGAGTTCAAAGAGGTTCGGCAGTAGAGCACGATCAACCTTGAATTATGGTCATCTCATATTTAGTCACAAATTTCCATTTAACCAAATAATTTTGTTTCAAAAGAGAATGTATTAAAGACTTAAAACAATGCTGCAACCAAATTTTTCATATAAAAATATGTACATAAAATGAAAGCTATGTCTTCCATGAGCAGTATGTATTGGGTTTCTTACACATTTGCATTTTGCATTACTATGTCGTTAGCTCTGTTACTCAAATATATTCCCACAGTATCACAATTTGTAACTGCTGGGGAAACCATAATCAAGCTTTGAGAATCCTGACTTTAGAGCACAGGAAATCTCAACCATAAATTTTCATTATTCTTCCTCAACCCGTTTGTTTTCTGTTTCCAGTAACCTGACCAGGCAGCACAGAATAACCAGGAAGCGATGTGATGCACAATTAATTTGAGGGGTTGCAGTGATTTCAGCAGATACAAACCTCCAGTGAGAGAGGATGAAGGCTAGCAGCTAATTATATTATCCCCTGAATTCTGGTCTCCATTCCTTTCATTTGCCTCTTGATTCCTTAGCTATCCACTACATAAGCAGCACACAAATATTTTCTAGTACTGCTTCCCGTAGAACTTCAGAGGAGCAGAGGCACCGTCTCTCCATATTGGAAGTAGACAGATGCGAAGTCTCATTTGACAGACACAAGCCAAACCTATATTGTCCCTCCCTCCCCCCTGCTTAGAGTTAATGATTCGGTTCTGGGCTTAACCTGCATCAACACTGACCTCTTGCATAAAAGAAGCAATGGATCTTTACCTGTTAAACCTTACGTTAAAGGAGTAACTTACTTGAGAGTCTAAAACCACTGTGAGCATTCCTACAGAGATATCGATAGCCCAGTGTGCAACAGCTTCGTTCAGCCAAGCTCAGAGCACCACAAAGCCCGAGCAAGTTTCACCAGTCAGGAAACTTCTCAAACTCACTCGGATCATCCCACACTCCAGAGACAGACACACCCCACCCTACCCCCAAAACACTGGGTCCATTTGCTATGTCAAGACATAGCGAGTTCCATCCAAGCAGCGAGATGTTTTTAGATATCTAAGTAGAATAATGGGCCTACCCGGTGTACCTCAGCAGTTACATACCAGTCGCCGGGGAGGAGGCTCAGAAGAACGCAGAGACGTTTCTCTGTGCCACTAACACACTTATTTGAACAAACAGAGGAACTGTTTGCATGGGCAAATGGGATATATCAAGCAGAAAACAGTCTGCAGACTGGACAACTTTTGTGACTGCTGTCACAACATTCGAGGAAAGAGCTCACTTCCAGCATAACTGAACGTCACACTGGCATGCGTGAAGAGAGGAAGGCTAAGGCACAAGCCCTGTGGGCAAAGCAAAGCAGGGTACTAGGAAAACGAGGAACAGAACTCACCTCACCTAACGCTCAGCCTAATGCCCTCATTCATGACCAAATCACAAGCTCTCCGAATACAAACTAAGACAAGACGCAGCTAATACTTGATAGCACTAGTTTTTAAGACAATAAAGACGTTAAGATCAAATAAGAGGGTCAAAGAAGCAGACTGTTTAGATTAAATAATTACCATAATCCCAAAAATCAGATTATAAAATTTTAAACCATATTTAGATCGCTTTCCTATCCAAGGGAGGACGAGGTCCTTCTCTACCACCTTCATCCAAGACTCTCTCATCTTCACTAACACCAATACAATTTAATCCCCTCTCTTCCTCCAGCCTCCTTGCAGGAGCTCGTCAATACACCCACCCCTACGCTCTGCCGCATACCGGCTCCAACAGAGATATCCTCTTGCTGACTCCTGCTTTGCAACACGATTCTTCTTAACAAGGTCTTTTGAAACAAAATGCCTTCAAATATGCCACCATCAGTCTCTCTCTGACCTCACTACCGTCAGACACAGTAAATTACGTGATCCCACCTCGTATCTTGTCCCACTACACAATTCTTTTCCGATTTCTTGCCCTCTGTGTCTACCTCTGTGGGATTTCTCTAATAAGTCTTTTGGAGGATGCTCCTCTTCTTTTTCTGTTGATATTTCACAACCATTTGAGATGGCTTTTTCTTCTTTCACCTCTTTATTGATAATTCCGAAACGGAGAAAGTGCAACTCAAGCCTGCCTCCTGAACTACTTATCCACGTAAACTTTAAATGGGCTGACACTCTCTCTTTTCTCTGAAACCATCCACAACCCCAACTCCACACTGGCTATCAACGTTATTCGCATCTTTGTCTGTGTCACTCAAACCTGTAATCCGTGGATCATCCTCAACTGCTTCTTCACACAGGCAGCACGCATACCTTGCCGTTTCCTTCTCCAGTGAGTTTTTAGATAGGATTTTTTCTTCCCAAGAGTGAGAAACTAGAACAACATCCCCCATCCTTTTCACCACAGATGACTCTGCAAAGACCTCCTTGCAGCCGTATCACACATCCCCCGTGAATCTGCACGCTCTCCTCCCACTTCCCAGTCTTTGTTCAGACTATCACGACTGCCTTGTCCTTCCCAACTCATCTAATCCATTTCATTCCTGTCCCTCCTAATCTACCATCGCTTTTAACAAGTTATTTTACGCACACCTAGACAAGCCTTCCTTCTCTGGTAACTCTGGGCTTGGGCAGAAAGGTACCCAGTTCATTTAAATTACCTCAGGTCCATTTCTTTTGTACCGCGTGCAAGACTAAATCCTGTACGTGTCCCACACGGCCAGAACACCGCATATTCGTAGGAGGAAAGCCCAGGAGAACTGCGGGAGAGAAGGCAGCTGTGGAGGAAGAGCCCGAACGGTGGCAGGGCGAGGAGGGAGCCCCGACACAGCCCACTCGCAGCCCGTGCCGAGTGCCGGCCTGAGACCTCACGGGCTGCGGCTTCTCTCCCGGGCGGCCCGGCCTGGGCACCGGCTCCGGGGCGGAGCGCTGCCGGGCGC